ACTGACCACCTCCACGGCTAAAAATAGCCCATCTCGTGGTCACTTTCCCTTTCTTGTCTCCTCACTGGCAAATGGGGGGGGGGCGTGTGGAGGGGTGTGTGATGATAGCTGTGTTTATTACAGGGGTATAAATCTCTTTTACGGTATGTTAGACAGGTTTATAATACATTTTTATTATTTTAATATACCGGTAATCTTAATTTGAATCCAGCTTGCCAAACGTAAGTTTCAGTATAAAATAATTAGTGGTAAGACCTTGTGAGTGGCTTACGATGTTTTCATCACCACTCTTGACACACTAAACCACAATATTTAAGAGGTAAGAATTTTGAACTTGGTGGTTTAGACGACCCCCTAACTTTGGGCAGATTTTTTTAATGTTCAAATTTCGTCTTATAGGCCGTGATATACGGTAGATCCACAATGAAAACGTGGATAAGATAAATCTTGATAAAATCACACGGGAAAAGGGAAACAACGGAGCACCTTAGCTTTCGTCTGTATTCAAGACATCTTCAGAGGCAACTCTGAAGATGTGTAACAAATCAGTATATATATATATATATATATATATATATATATATATATATATATATATATATATATATATATACACATATATACAGTATTACCCCGCTTAACGCGGTTTCGCTTAAGGCGTTTTACCGTATCGCTCGCCAGAGCTGAACTTTCACTTAACGCGGGTTTTTTCCACGTATACGCGGTGAGTGTTCGGCTCGAGAGCTATTTTTAGATTCGCCCCACCCGCCACCCTGCCTGACTGCTTGTTTTAGCTCATAAAATTCATACAAATTAACCCAGCCAGAATATAATTTACATTGCTGGAATTCTTACAATATGATGATCATTTTGAATATAAACATCATAGATTTTGCATTAGACATACAAATTTTAGATATAATGTTTACTCTGAGTAAATATGTTATTTTTTGTGCAAAATATATGACATTTGTATTCAAAATATTCCTGGTCTTACAAAGAATCCAGCAATGTCAATTATATTATCCTAACTTTAGTTTGAGGTATTATTTATTACTAAAAAGGTAAATATTCTAGTTTTCCCACACATCTGGTAGGGAGGGAGGGACCTCGAAGGTAAATATTCTTTATTTCAAACATTTTTCCACTCATATCCTGAAAGTTAATCTTTTCAAGCAGTTATATCATAGCAGATATTAAATTTGGCATCAAAGTGAGCCAGAACTGGGCATCCTTAACAGTTCTATATGGATATATTTGCAATACAGGATATCAATATTTTGGGGACATTTTGGAGGAGCCAATGAGCTAAAAAAAAAAATATGCTATAGGTAGGCATGGGTTTTACCAGATTTCCTGCATGCACAGTGCAGACTTTACATCTAATCTCTCTTCTGGGGATAAATTGCCTTACTGTTTACTATTGTTGTATCCAGTAATATCTCTGTTAACTGGAACTCTCCAAAACCAGGAATTGAAATTAGCTCAGAATTGCTCCGGAAAAATTCTCTCAATTCCAAGTCTGTAAACGAGTTTCTGAAGGTTGAAAATCAGGTGCATTTTCTGATGAAATTCCAACAAAATTCTGGAAAATTTAAAATGAAAATCTTTTCCGGGTCTGGGAGCAATTTCCGAGGTTGAAAATCAGAAGCATTTCCTGGAAAATCCTGAGAAAACTTCCTGAAACTCTCCAAATTTGTTTCCAGGTTTAGGTGCAAATTCAGAGGCTGAAATAATGCATAATTTGGGGAAATCCGAGAAAATTCTAATTTTTTGGGGGGTCAGAGAGCAAATTCTAAGGATGAAATAATGAGTAATTCTGGAAAATTCCAGAGACAAACTCCAATTTTTTTTTCTTAGTCTGGGAAGAAATTGTAAGGATAAAATAATACAGTATGCAATTTCCATAAAATTCCAAGAAACTTTTCCTAATAGAGAACAGTGAGTTCTGCTATAACGCGTGTTTTGACAACGCGAATTGGCTCTAACGCGATTGATGAATAGAGGAACAATATTTGTAAAACGCAAATGCGTTTGCTCTAACACGATTACACTCGAACGGTTGTTGTGGATTGGCGAGGGGTTATTCAGTGTTTACAGTTCAAGTTCGACATCACATGTTCAATTGAGTTATGTGTTTTGTTTGTGAAGAATTGCAGAAATAATTTATGTAATATTTATGTATACAGTATACCTGTACAGTATATGTAAATTGTAAATATTTAAATAAGAGAGAAAAACAAAATACGGAGCATTTTACACCCGCGCGCTCTGTTTACACCACACACAGTGTTTGCAGTTCACGTTAGACATCACATGTTCAATTGATTTATGTGTTTTGTTTGTGAAGAATTGCAGAAATAATTTATGTAATATTTATGTATACAGTATACCTGTACAGTATATGTAAATTGCAAAATTTTAAATGAGAGAAAAACAAAATACGTAGCGTTTTAGACCCGCGCGCTCTGTTTACACCACACGTTCAGTCTGAAACACGTGGGAAATTTTTAAGCGTCCTCAGTGATTTCTGATTTACTGTTTCTCCAATTTTGTGACTATGGAAAAGAAGAATATCTCCGGGAAGCGTTCTGGTGATCGTATTTCCGGTGGTGATCGTAAAAGAAAGGCTATAACACTTGAAGAAAAGCTTGATGTTGTCAAGCGTTTTGAAAATAAGGAAAGAACATGTGATATTGTGCGTGCAACGGGAATAAAGGAGTCTACTTTATGCACCATTAGAGACAATGCAGCAAAGATTAAAGCAAGCTGTATTGCTGGATAAACCTTGAGTACTAGCAAAAGTGTGAGATCACGGCCAAAGGAACTTGAGGAGATGGAAAGGCTTCTAAGTGTTTGGATAGAAGATCAAACGAAAAAGTGATCTGGGACCAGCTTCCTCACCATTAAAGAGAAAGCGTTATCAATATATGAGGACCTAAAGAAAAAAGCTGAAAATCCTGATGATGTGGTGGCCTTTAGTGCTGGTAGTGGATGGTTTTCTGGTTTTAAGAACCGCTATGCGTTTCATAATGTAAAGTTATGTGGTGAAGCAGCAAGTGCCCGGGCATTTCCTCCCACTGTAAAGAAATTGATTCAGGAAGAAGGCTACACCTTAGACCAAATTTTTAATTTGGATGAAACAGGTTTATACTGGAAGTGCATGCCAACAAGGACTTACATTTCCAAGAATGAAGCACATGCTCCAGCTTTAAGGCTGCGAAGGACTGCGTGACAGTGTTGTTGGGTGCAAATGCTAGTGGAGATTTAAAGCTTAAGCCTGTGCTGGTGTATCACTCTGTCAACCCGCGAGCTTTAAAGGGTTACATAAAGTCTACTCTAGGTATTCACTTTAGGTCACGCAAAAATGGTTGGATGATGGGACAAATTTTTTCTGACCATCTTGTGGATGTTTTTGAAAACGTTTTTAAAAAATATTACAAGAAGAAGAATATAGATTTTAAGTTTCTCCTCATTTTAGATAATGCGCCAAGCTGCCCTCCCACCATTGCTGAGCTTTCTGACAATATCAAAGTGTTCTTTCTACCTCCAAATAATACATCTCTCCTTCAACCAATGGACCAAGGAGTAATAGCAGCCTTCAAAGCCTATTATTTGAGGCGTACATTTAAGAAACTTATTGCAGCTACTGAGGAAGGAAATGATAAGGCCAGTGTTCTTCAGTTTTGGAAAAGTTTCAACGTCAAGCATGCAATTGACATCATTGTGGAGGCCTGGGGTGAAGTAAGTAAGGACTGCTTGAGTGGAGTTTGGCGGAAGCTTCTCCCAGATTTAATTCATGATTTTACAAGCTTTGATGCATCAGAGGAGCTCCCAATAATTAAAGAAAATTGTGTTTCTCTTGCAAAGCAATTTGGCTTTGCTGAAGTGGAAAGCACTGATGTTGAGGAACTGCTTGAGTCCCACTGTGAAGACCTCTCTACAGAAGATCTACAACAGCTTGTTGCTGCTGGGGAAATAGAAGATGCCGAAGATGATGAAGTCCAGGATGCAAAACCACAAGAGCGTCTCACTTCTGTTTTGTCTTCTATCCTGAAGGAAGTTGATAAGCAGTTGCAGATCTTGGAAGACAATGACTACAATGCAGAAAGGAGCAGGATTGCAGTTCGTGGTGTTAAATCTTTTTTGGCACCTTATGAACAGCTTCTTTGTGAAAGAAGAAAGACGGCAAAGCAGCAAACATTAGACGTCTTTTTCAAGTCAACCCCCAAGAAGCAGTCTGAACCACAGTCTGAAGACACTGAACCACAGCCATCCACTTCTGGAATTAGACGTTTTTTTTCTTCCCTCCCATGCAACCAAAACTGCACCTGATGATGACGATGACAACTGTCAAATCCTGTCTGCATGACTCCTCAACCTCAACATCAACCTTCTCCCCCATCAAGTTATATTCATATTTTTTCAAGGTAAAGTGTAACATTTACTGTATGATTTCATTATTAGATATGAATGTAACATTTATTTAGACTGTGCTATCCTTTGTGTTAGACTAACTACGAAATTTTTTTCGATTTCCAGTAATCTGCACCTAACCCCATTTTCTCCATAAGCCCTGTTATTTCTATTACGGGAATTTCTATAGCACGATGTTTTACAAGAACACAACTATCGCATTATAGCAGAACTGACTGTGCCCAGAAAAAAATCCCACCCTAGTTTGATAGTGCTGTCTCGTTACCCGAAAATCTCTCATCCCTGGAAGAGCTCTGCTCCAATTATTCCAGCTAGGTACATGACAATTTTTTTTACATGCAAGGTCCTTATTACCATAGTGCTGTTGCCTATACACATGATTGTATACCTGCAATGTCTACATACAAGCTAAACCAAATGTATACCTGTATGTTTTTCTGAATAAATATTACGTATGATGAATATGAAGGGGTTGAGTAATCCTAAGATCAGTGTGATGGACCAGTAATGTAAGTTGGCATGTATAAGGGGTCCAGCCACAACAATCCAGTCCAATGCCATACCTTGACCATGTTCATCAACAAACTGAAGTGCCTGAATCAAACGCAAAGTTTCGTCAACACTACGTCCAACTCTGTCGTCATTTGCCATTATCTGAAAATTAGAAATGGATTTAATCATGTATTAACCACAAGTGTTAGTGATCATTATCCATCAGCTGTTTCAACTGTTTGTTATCAGTGTCTAATGAAAGCAGAGTGGGGAGAACAGTACACAGCCCACATCATGAACTGGGCTTCAGGAATATAAGAAAATTATTCAGTGAGCCAATCAGGAGCTGTACAATACTCATCCAGGTGATTATGGAACTAAAAATTATGGTTAACATTAATTAAGAATGAGTGTTACAATAAAGACTGGATTGAGCTTAGAAAATCCAGGTTACTTTATGGCATGGGAGGGATGATCATGTGACCTGGAATATCAATGTCTGTCTTTACCTCATGTGATGTGGGATATCACTGTCCATCTTTACTGAGATATCACTGTCTGTCTTTAGATTCTGTGACCTGAGATATCACTGTCTTTAGATCATGTGACCTGAGATATCATGTCTGTCTTTACCTCATGTGACCTAAGATATCAATGTCTTTATCTAACCATACTGCTCAACAATCAACCCTCAACACAGATCAGAAAATGAAGTACTGAAGTTGAAACCTTGGTCTTTAAAAAAAAAATTATATAGGAACTGTAGCTACATCAGCAATCTAAGGGTTGAAATCAGGTACTCATGGACTTAAAATTTGTAACTTCAGTCTAAAAATGGAATAAATTTTTATATATTTTTTTTTCTTCGTTTACACCAGATTCCAATAAAGGAGACACTTGGTATGAAGATAACCTGAAATGTAAGAGCTTGAATCTTGGTTATCATCCATAAACTTGAGATTCGGTTTGATGCAGAGGAAAGCCAAACCAACAACAGTTTCCAGGATATTCAGCTAACTTTATGAGAGGAGAAGACCTACCAGTAAGTTGCCCTATCCTGACTCTGAAACAGATTTTTATAGAACAATCTTTCATTCTATCAATGTGGTGGTCTTGGGTGCCTCTGTGAATCCAATTGAGGACAGTTGCCCTATCCTGACTCAGTAACATGTTTTTCAGAGCAATCTAAGTCACCGCTTAAATCAAAAGAGGCAACATAATAGAAGCTAACTTTACAAGCTCCCAGGTACAGGTATCACAAAATCCATATCAGTAGTACTGTACAGTATATTCATTTTAATCGAGGGTTCACAACCCCCCACTGACAGAAATGCCTGCGATTTACTCACAGACAAATCTAAGAGAAAAATCACATATTTTCCAAGATGAAATAACAAAATTTTTCACTGTTTTGATTGATTATATTGAATTCAGAGATATGTAATGTTTTATTTGTTACTGACTGTTGTGTCTGAACTCAGAAATAAATATACAGTAGCTAGTCTAGATTTAAATGAAATTACAGGAAGACAATAACCAAGAAAAAAAATTACTAGGCAGGCGAGCACTGACATGTCTGGAGTTTGTTTTCCAGAATTAATGTTCCTCGTCAGTGTCCGTTTAATTTTTAAATCTGCGATATTTTCATCATTGTTTTCACTTGGAACATCACTCAGATATTCAAACAAACCATAATAAGCATCTGATGGCTGTCTGTCTGGGTTGTAACTTGTCTTGTGTTATTCACAAGACAAGAAACAAAAAAAATTATGATTAAGCCAGTGCATCATTCAACCTGAGCCAGGCCTGAATTTTTTCCTAGGTCATACAGTGTGCAGGAGGAGGTTTTGAGAATTGCAATTAAATGCCAGGTAGCGATGTGTCCTCCTAATATTACGTATTAAGTAATTAATAGATGTTTTAATTGCCTGTATGTTGGCCTGGCGAGTTAATGCTAGGCATTAACATACCTAGGTATAAAGCTAGATGTTGAATTCTGGATTGAACAAAAATACTGTATTGCCAAATCAATAAATAAAAGCCAAATGAAAATTTAAGTCGCCATTTGCATATACTCCCTGGGTCACTATAGCAACAAAGACACCACCTCCACCGATTCCCTAGCAATGCTCTACCCCCTCACACGTCCCACCTCCTCCTGCTCCCCCACTGAGCCATCCAGCTAATTTGTGCACAAAGAAATGTATACAGCTCCTCCCCGACTTACGACCTACTCGACTTACGACAACCCGCACTTACGACCTGCCTCAGTTGTACCAAAATTTTGTCAAATTACGTATTTTCGAGTCCCAGCATCAGTACAGACAAAATTTTCATTTGTAATTCACTTTAAAATGGCTGGCAAGCTTAAAAGTGAGAGTTTTGTGGTGCTGAGAAGAAAAAGAGACACCCATTTTAAATTTTCTATGTATTATTTAAGCATTTTCGACTTACGACCTGAATTTGGGTCTCTAACCCCATTGTAAGTCGGGGAGGAGCTGTATTCCCTTTATGTGTTTGCCCTTTGGACAATTATTTCTTTTACCTTTTTCACAATATGTGTGTAGGATGGTGTGCATGTAAATGAGTAAAAATAAATGAAGAAAATTACGTATATCTACCCCAAAAATATGAGATGAAAAACAACCATAACAACAGTAGCCCGGTGGTTACAGTGCCGAGTCTAACCTGGCTACAATGCTGCCAGCGATGTTAATGCATGGAAATGTAAAGTTATGTGTAAATCTTTATTTGTTTCAGGTACTTGTAGATCTAAAAATAAATGTTGCAGGTATGACATTATTCGATAGTAATGCTTGTAAGAGTTCAGAAATGGTTACTGCTTAGCTACCTCTGAAGAGTTGGGTGTCTGCCATAGGGAAGTTAATCGTCACAGGTTATCGTCATCAGTACAATAGTTATAAATCGAGCTTTTATATTTACAATAATTATATATTTATTTTTATTAAAAATAATAATAATGTGTTTAGGTAAGCAATAACATATTTTTAGTTCTGGAGTTGGGTTAGGTAGAATTTAGCCTACTGGAGACCATAACATTACAGTATATATATACAGGTTGTACCTCTCTAGTCCGGCAACCTCGGGACCTGACCGGTGCCGGACCATGGAAATTGCCGGACCATGGAAATTCACCCTTTTCCTGAATAGAGAGTGACTTGTGCTTATGCCTGGAAGCACTAGCACCACTTTCTCTGCATCATGGTCTCTTTGAAGACATATTGAAGGGTTAAATGTCGTATAGTAGCTTCTCAAATTCCGCGAGTTTTTAATTCTTAACGTATTTTATTGGAACACGCAAAAAAATAAATAAATAAAAATTTTGACGGCGGAAACTTGAATTTCCACGGGTTTGATCGGCCCGCCAACGTGCAGACGACGTGCATAATCGTGTAAACAGCGTCATTTCTCTTATGTACAAAAGATACATTATTGTTTATTACTGAATGTCTTTTTTATTGAATTAATGTTTATGTGTGCAAAATGAGCAATAAAATTCATTAATAATACGTAGAATATTAAAACACACGAGGAAATGACACAGCATTGTTTTTGTTGATTACAAAACCAGTGACTGACTGGTTCAACATATAAAACTGAAGAAAATAAGACCTTGGTTGTAGCTGTAGTAAAATTAATATGGTTGTTTTAAGTAATATTATTTAATGTTAATAAATGGAACAATAGAAGTAGCTAACGATAATGGTAAAGAAAAAAGAGAGATCGCATATGTAAGTGCGCATGCGCACACGTGAAAACATATCGTCATTACTTTACATAAGAATATGAAAGCAACACTAATTTACTGTTTATATATATTTTAATTAATGTTTCTGAATTTGTTTTTATTGAATTAATGTTCGTGTGTGCAAAATTAACAATACAATTTATTAATAATACGTGGAATATTAGAGGAGACGAGACGGCTGCCGGCATTGTTTATGTTAAAGCTTACGAAACCAGTGACTGATTGGTTCTACATATAAAATGGAAGAAAATAAGACCCTGGTTGTAGCTGTAGTAAAATTAATGTAAAAAATGAATATGGTTGCTTAAAGTACCTGTAATGTTATTTAATGTTAATAAATGAAACAATATAAGTAGCTAACCATTAATGGTAAAAAAAAAGTGAGACTGCTCGTATGTAAGTGCGCACATGTGAAAATATATCGTCATTACTCTACATAAGAATATGAAAGCAACACTTATTTACTGCTCATATATATTGAAGGGTTAAATGTTGTACTCTGTATAGACAAGCAGATTCAGATTTCAGATTTGCCCCCGAGGGGGCTAGTTTATTGGGCACCCCCTTACATCCTGTGCAAGGTGAAGCGCAGAAGCGTTTACAGCGCCCAACAGGGAAGTATGAAAAGTTCATACTTGCCTTTATGACTCGTACATTAAGGGCGTAAAAGCCTGAAGGGTCATAGGTTCTGTCAAGTTACATAAAGTGAGAGAATGGTGAGTGTGTGGGGGGAAAGTTCCCGGTACATTTTATCTGTTTATGGCAAAGAGTGGCAGGTCCCTAATAATGTCAAATGCCAGGCCTGTGACTAGGAGGGATATCTGGTCTGGGAGGGAAGAGGTGTTGGTAACGGCTGGGATAGACAAGCAGAGAGAGAGATTGAGTGCAGCCGAACTGCCGTATGTAAACAAAACTTAATTTCCCGGGGCTTTTTTTTTTTTTTTTTAAGGGGATTAGCCCACCCGGGCATGGGTCACTGACCCACATTGGGTCCTGAGGGGCAAAAATCTGCCTATCTACCTATTGGGCAAACTAAAATCGTTCCGGACCACGGGAGTTTCCGGACCACAGAATGCCGGACTAGAGAGGTACAACCTGTATTTAGTGGGTCTAAATGGTAGTAAAATGGGAAACTTGGGGTTGGGTCTTGGGTGCCTGGAACCAATTAGAATAAATCCCATAGGCTCTGTACTTTCGTTATCGCGTTTTTCGTTATCATGTACTCGGCGGAGTCCCAATTAGGCGCGATAACCAAGGGATGACTGTACTGTACTGTATATACTTGTGACACTGGCCAGTTGCTTCTGGTGCTATGGTACAGGGGTACCAAGTGACAGCACTAGGATCCTGCTTCCTCTTTCAAGGAATAAACAATTGAAATTGAAAAAAAAAA